TGTTTCCATATTTTGTGATTTTTCATCCACTTCTCTACAGAATGAGATTTCAAGCGCTAAGAGTCCTTCGATACATTGTATTAATTTTATTAAATGTATTGTATTCATCGATATGTTTCATTATTCAGCCCAAGTTATATCTCAGCTTTATCTTGTTCACGACGTTTTTGGGCATTATTCATCCGATTTTTCGACCAAAAGCGATTAAACTTCTCCGAACTTTCGAATGGCGAGGTGGGTCCACATTTTCATCAAAACGCCTCACGGTTCGATGGCCATGTAGGTTTACAGTTCAGCGCGGGCCTCGTGTGATTAATTACATTACGTAACGCGCTAATAATATGCGACAACGCGCGAATAACAAGTTCCGCATGTTAAGTGCAGTGTTTAGGCGGTGTAGGATTGCGGATCGATTCGCCTGGTTTTCGTTGCAAAACACAGGCGAAACGACTAATTATCGATCATAGATAAGAGGCGTTTTCGGTGGTCGGGACTGGCAATTTCCTCGGGATATAATTTAATAAAACGTCGAAAACAAATCTGTTAAAATACGAGGCCTCGATTAGGCCGCGTGTTTACGAACCGTGACAATTCTTCACGTGACCAGAGAGACTGGTTTACTTTGGCACAAATATTTTATTTCCACCGGGTTACCAGTAGCTCCATTCCCGAAATATACTGCAGCTCATTTGAATACTCGCCTTTACATTCTCGCTATAATAATGTGTTTATTTCTTGCAACCTCACCGAAACCTTCTAGACTATTTACTCGAATAACTTTTAAATTATTGTTTCCTTCCAGAGATAGAGAATCAATCTGTAACTGAATTAATCCTTTGCAATCGAAAGCTTTTCAATAAAAACATTCAACATTTTCTGATGAGACGTAGACGATATACTTTGAAACTAATTAATGAGAAGACATACATAAATTAAGGAACGAAGATGTTCAATATTTCATATATTGATGTATTATACAATATTTAGTACTATATACAAGTTTATCACTTTGATATATCATATCGAGTGGTGACTGAGATTGCAACAACTAGAATAAAATCTAATTCGATTTCTCACACTAATACTCTCACTATACAAGACAATCTAAAACCTTATTCAATTCTATTAACCTTTAAAAAAATAACTGAAATATTTAATACGAGTCAAATAAAACTAGTAAAATCGTAAGATTATCTAGAAACCCGTATCAACTATATACATCCATACGAATCTGCTAAGAATATTTCAATCCGATGAAAGGAAAAATCCGGTAACACAAGTTTCCTACGAAGACGGTAAAACGGTAAAAATAAAAAAGAATAAATGAAAAACAGGAACGTGCACGGTGGTAACAAAATAAGCGAATGTTGCTCCATGCGCCGCGTAACGTTGCCGATCGGCGCATAATCCGATCACCGAAGTTTCCCTGTGGCCCGTGGCCCGGGTGTTTACTTATTCGACGGGCTTCCGATAAACTCGTTTCGGTGGAAACCAGCGAAATGCTCGGCCCCCGGGATGATCGATTGGCCGTTTGTTCGGCAGACTGGAAGTTAGCGATACCGATTGCCGGTCGACGGGCGAGCGCCTCGCGATACGGCGAGCCGTGTTGCCTCGAGTCTCGCGTTGGAAACAGCCGACGGGAGTCATGCGGGTTTTATATTCGGGACACGAACTGGGCGGCTGTGATTGGCAATTGTTGCTTTACCCTCGCTCCGTGTCTTTCGTTATTAACCCCTTGTCCTATGATTTCTTTCACAGCCGAGTTCGGTAAAGCTAGTTTATCGTTAATAGTTTATTAGAAGACGGAAAGAATTTTATCGTTACTCCATGTGTACGTTTGGTACGAAGGTTAACGACTGACTATGGGAAAGTAGTATTCAATTTGTATTCGAATAAAGTGATTTTGTCACATTTTGTCAGTCTATAATTCTGTCGAAGTCAGACAATTTTAATTAATGCCTTGGATCGACTTGTAATTGTATCTGCTATAGGTCTTTATTATAATTCCCTTCATTTTTGTATCTTTTAATTTTGAAAATTTGTTAGTTACGATATTAAATTTGTTGAATTAGATTTTATCAGATATGTAGATGAATTAGATTATTCTAGTTTTCGGAATACTTGAAATTTTAGAAATAGTTATTTATGAAGATCTTCGGACGAGAGTAAATTTCTATAAAATATTGTGGAACATTGAAGTTCGGAATTCATAGAAGCTGAAAGACACTGAACAGTTTTCATTGCCTCAGACAGATTAGAATAAAACATTGTCAAGAAAGATCACGTGAAAGGAAACTGACGTGTTCGTTACACCTTTCTCTATCAGGAAGGAGACAATGGAGTAAGAACCGCAGCGCTGTCAGAAGCGGTTCGAGATCTGAAGTAGATACGGACGCCACTGGTCAGACAAGCCTAAGCGTTCCCCTTAAAGAAAGACATTCATAATTAAACGCACGGCGTTTCGAGGCGAACGCAATGGAGTCCCGTAGATCTCAATGATCTAATGGACGCCACGTTAATCATTTACCGGAGAGATTAGCGACGCTGACTCAGCCATTAGCCGTCTTGCGACGCACTGAACGTCGTCGATCCTGTTCCCTGCGGGACTGGACGTCGTATTAACGTTCCGGTCGTGTTTTCCAGTGTTCGTATAAGTCTTCTAATGTCTGACCTGTTTGCTTTTGCGTTGATTAAGTTAGAGCGGCAACAGAGATTATTTAGTAATAAATATTTAGACGCTTGATACCTCAAAATAAATAATCATGATCCTCGTTTTATCTCAACTTCTGAAATGATTACACGCGTTATATTTCTATAAATTTGTCTAAAAATTTTGCAACAAAATTTTATAGATAAATTTATGTGGATATTTTGCAACCAAATTTTATACATAAATCTGTCTAAAAATTTTTCAACTGAATTGTATACATAAATTTGTCTAAAAATTGTGCAAGCAAATTTTATAGATAAATTTATCCAAAGATTTTGCAACTAAATTTTTAATTTACATAAAAATAAAATTGTACTTTCAATAATTCTATTACAACAAAAGAACGAATACATATCATTCGAATTCTCTAATCTTCTCTTCCGCGCTATCAAAGAGAAAGATTCTCACAATCGTCTCCAAAAGTTTCGTTCAAAAGCCAGCCGCCGCAAACGACGAAAATAAAAGTAGTCCGGATCGTAAAAGAAATTGCCTCTTCCTATATTAACTTATATGGACGGCAAACTTTTCCGATAAACTAGCTGTTACGGTCGACTTCACCGAAGATCGAGCGGAATTCCGCTGGAACTTCAAAGAAGCACTCGCGTAACTTCTCTATTAGCATGAAAATGCCATCGATGAGTCTGCGAGATCGTTGCTCATTATCCGAACCGGGTGTCCGAGCGCGACCCGGAGAAAAATAGAGGATAAAAATCAACGATGATCGTTGAACGGTAATTCACCGGCGATCTACGCGCTGTTCCCGCGGTTGTTCAGCCCGATAACTGACCCGTGTATCAGTTTCCGATCGCGTGGCCAACGATTTCGCCGCGGAATTAATTCCCCCGCGCCTGCGGGATAATCCGCGTCGCTTGCAATTACGCTAACGAGACCGTCGATTCGATAATCAGGCGCAATTACCTCATCCAGGCAAAACGGACGCGCCGTTCTTACATAGTTTCACCTCGGATCGAGCGAGTGAGAGCCATTGCTAACGTTGCACAGCGAACTTTCGCAAGCGTCGCTGAAAAGAAAAGTCCGATCCCTGCGTCGGCGGGCCGAAGCTGGCAGAATTGAATTTGATCAGTAGACTGTAAATTTTAATGGATTTATGGAAAATTCGAAAGTGCAACAGTTTATGCACCTGCGAGAAATTCGATGTTGCAACGGTCCGTGTGCTCCTGAGAAATTTGACGTTGCAACATTTTCCGCGTTTCTGGGAACTTTGAAGTTGCAACATTCTGTGTATTAATGGGAATTTTGAAAGTGCATCGTAGTTTTAGTTTTGCGGTTGTGTGGTTGACGATTGGAATTTTTGCAGTGATTTATGGCTCACTATTTACATATTAGGCGTTATGATTTGAGTGTAACAATTGATTTGATTATGATCTTTCGTGGTTATTGGCGTTTATCTACAATTCAGATTGAAGAGATTATAGTGTATACACTTTAGTAATTACTAATTGGTAGTTACATATAGTGATTTGCAATCGAATGAGATTACAGATTAGATTTGGCTCAATATCGTCGAAACTCAGTTCCGGAAGATAGGACTATCTCTGTTGCCGTTATCGCAACGTTACCTTTGCATATTTTACGTTTTTACTGCACCGGTGATTTCCTTCCTCAACTGGGGTTAAAACATTACACCGAGTGCCTTTCTTTGGTTTCTGACAAGCCGTGAAATTCGATTCTTCACGGATTAGGTAACGTTGATTACAGAATTCATTTGCACGCTGCGTCATCCTGCTAGCGATGTGACAGTGATGAAAGAGCAATCTGTGGAAATATGAAGATTGGAAATGTAAGAGTGTTTTTCCTTCTATTTCACTTTATTTTACAGTGAATTACTGTTGAACGTTCGTACGAAGAATGAGTTTCTCATTTGGTGGACTGTTCAATTAACCAAGATATAAAGGAATTCATTTTCTAGAGTGAAAAGTGAAGTACTGAATCGAATAGTTTGGAACTATGATGTGAAAAATCAAGAAAGAGGGGTGGTTCACTTTAATTATTGAATAATTCATATAATCGTCGTTACAGTAAGAAGTAGATTATCATGAGCAGATTGGTCAACTTCTAGTCGCAGTCAGACAAAATTTGTACTCAGATTTATTCAATTTATTTTCAATTATTTGTACGTTTCAAATTATTATGTAATTATATTATTTTATACATATTATTAGAGATTACTCCATCCATCCTGCAAATAAATATTCAATAAAATAGAACATCCTTTCTCCCTCCTCCAGTGTACACAGTTTTTTAAACAACAATCAATTTATTGCACCAATATTATGTACAATTACGAACACATAATATACACAATAATTAATAATTACCAGTCCGCGATCGATCAACGGGAAGAATGATCGACAAAATTTCGCGAATTTCAGCCATAACTCCATCGATCCATCAGCGTCATCGATTTTCAAGTGCACTCGTGACGAAGCCGATCATGTACGAACACGATCGGTCGAGATACGATACGACAGCGCTAGCTAAGCATGCGTGAAACGCGGATCACGCTTGGGAAATCGCGAGATCGAATTACGGAAATGTGTCGGACCCCCGTAGATATCGTTCCTTTCGTCTCGATCGGGATCAACGGACCGGTTACGCGTATATACACATTTTAACTACACACTCGGAGCACCGGTAAACAATCTTGGATCACCGGTTGTGATTTCAAGCGCAACCGACTCGGCGCGACGCTCGCCGTAAAATTTTAGCGGCTCGCAAGAAATCCTCGACCGTGGGCTTTCTCGCGATCGATCGATCAGATATTTCGTAAACGATAAACGATTCTCGATAAACCTCGATCGCGCGAATTAAACATTATTATAACGAGAGGAAAGTATATGTTTTATTAATAATATTTTCTTCAGAAATTAAAAAGAAAAAGTTCAAAGGAAATTTAATCGTTCCGAGTAATTGATTTATTAACTTTCGGGAGAGTTGTAAATTGATTATGGATATTAATGCAATTATAGTGTACGAGGATTGTTACGAAACTTAAATGTTTCGTTGCCAATAGGTTGTTTTGTTAATTCCGTCGATCGAGGTGATTAAATTTATTTCTTATCGGTATTTGTAATTGTATATTAGACATATATTAGCTTAATTGTCTAGATAAATACTGTCAAGAGTGCCTTCGCGCGCCATATTGGCACTCCCATCGCACTAAATGGATTAAAGGTGCGCAATTGTCTTTGGAACTCTTTCCTAGTCAAAGACGCAGCGGATGTGACACTCGAGTTGCTCCGTTTTCACATAGCCCTTCAGATTTCCAGTTAATAATAGAAGAAACTGTAAAATCCTGCAACATAAAAGTGATAGTGTTCGAAATACTGTATTTAATCTTAACTGATAAAATGAATGCCCCAGTTATTAATCAAACCGATTTCTTTCTATATTAACAAATGTTGGAACATTTTAAGTACCATTTCAACTCACCGTATCAACTCCTTATGAAATCTTCACAAATACCAATTAAGTTTGTTCTACTTTATAATTAACTACGAACCTAATTTAATCTCAGGCTAAAGATTAATCATCCTTACCGAGATGATAAATGGTAATTAAATCATTAATATGTCACGTAATATTGATCCTAACAAGAAATAACACATGATATTCCAATTTGTCTATTCCCATGACTATAACCCATCATTCCCCTTAGCATTAAATCTCACCAAGGCGATGAACCTTAAACAAATCCTCAATATACCAAATGACATCAACCACCGCACAGAATGATCCATGATATTCCAATTTGTCCGCTCCCAAACCCACAATCTATTCCTCGCGACATTAACTCTTACCAAGGCGATGAACCTTAAACAAATCCTCAATATACCAAATGACATCAACCGCCGCACAAAATAATCCATGATATTCCAATTTGTCTGCTCCCATACCCATAATCCATTTCCCGTGGCACTCAAGCAAACCAAAGGAAAACCCGTAGTTCCCAAACAAACCGAACGCATCCCCAAACAAAAGTTCTCTCATTTCCTCGGGCTCGTTCCCCGAGAGCCTTCTTCAGCCCCGGCGGCCATTCGATCCGACCCTCCCCCGCAAGGGTTCGCGTCCAGGACAACGCAGGGCCGGTCGGCCTGCAAATCCCGCGTGATTTTCATCTACGATTGCTCGGCTAACTGGCAAAGTCCCATTTCTGCTGGTAATCGCCGGGACACCTGACCGCCGGTAATGAGAACTCGGCCCTGGACCACTTCAAAGCTGTTAATTAGAGGACCCTCGTCACCTCGCCCCGACGCCCCCGGCCCTCTTCAACGGCGTCTTCTCCCTTTGATTGGCAAGCGCTCGGTTTTCTGGCCGCTGGCCTCCGCGCCGCGATTCCGACAATAATGTTAGCCGCAAGCCGATATGACATAACGTACAATGTGGTCAAACGGCTGTTTTTTGGATAAAACTCGGTAATTTAACCCTTTGCACTCGAAGGCATATTGCTTCAAATATTCAACACTCTTTGATAAAATATAGACAACGTTTGTTGCGACTAATGTAAGTAATTTAACACGCTGAACGTCATGGGGGTCACCGGCGACACCCGACCAAATCCAATTATTATAATTCAATCAATTAAGTGATGATTATTTTGAAACATTTTTATATTATAAATAATGCTATTTAATGAAGTGACATTCAGCTAGATGGACGTGCAATAATAGTAACACAATTCAATCGAATGATTTAATATTTCACTTTGTCCATTTTGTGTATTTTGCTCTATGAAATCGGCATTTGACGTGTTAATCGATAAATCAAGGAACAAAAGTATTTTACTGTGTGATTTCTCATAATGACACATTATATGAAGTTCAATATTAAACATCAAACTTTAGAATTTTACCGTATCAATCCAAGTGGTGGCTGAGAGTTCTGAGTTAACCCAAAGGGTTAACATTCACCGTACCGGGAACCGGTCAAATGACCGGATTTAAAATTCTAGGTCTTCTTTTGTTCATTTGATTTTATGTCAGTGCCTATATTGTCCGATTAATTGGTCTTTCAATTTTCATCCTTCGTTCTGTTTCTGTTTCCAATAAGAAAAATGTATCATCTAATTCGTTTATCTCTATTTTGTAGCCAATTAAATTGACTTTTTGAAAATTCTCTCTAGTAACTCCAGGAGTGCATCTATTAAAGTTTTAATAGATTTACAATTCAGTTTGCGTATTACTGAATTAATTTCTTGAGTAATATCTCAGATAAATATCTGTTACATTTTTAATAATTGCAAGACGAAGAAATCAAGAATCATGTTGACCCATCTGGCAGTTTTAGTATTGAAAAGTATGAGTGATACAAAGAAATGCTTCAGACAAAACTTGTAAGGTATAAGGCTAAACGCATGGTGGTTATGGTTTTCTTACATTATAGGAATATTATGAAGTTTTTCAATGACAATGGATATTTTGCGTTTCGATTCCAACATTATATAAATTGGAAAACGGAATATGTAAATTATATTACTTGGTAAACGTTCATCTCGGTTTTGATTGATGGAAATACGTGAATATGCATCCTGATAGTTTAATTTTAAATCCCTAATTTCCACGATCTAAACGAACATCAATTTTTCTAGGAACAATATAATAAACCGCACAATAAACCTAGCGTTAATACTCATATCTTTCGAAACCCCTTTTCGTTAGGTTTTCGGTTTCTTAGTACCATTTTGTTTGTACAGTCTCGTTCCGTTTATCTAACATTCTCGATTCTCTAATTCCCTAGCGTTATCGATAATCCTGACTTTGGCGACACAAGGAATCGTTACTAACACGTAATCTTACTTTCAATTAATCGAGTCTCCTCAGAACTGAGAATCAATAATCATAATCAATGCTCTCCTATTGTCTTCACATGGTTCCCCTTTACAACCAACTTTCTAATAGATTCAAATTTCATAATTGCCCACGCGCGGGATGTCCAAACATCCATTAATAAATTTCTCCACGCACATATCTAATTCGCACCTGTATAAAATCCATTAACCTCCTCAATGAACACAACTGAATCCACCGAACAACCTCCAAAGGAGAACAAGCCAAATAAAATCACAAAAAATCCGCCTGTAAATGTAGACACGTGTGTTATCTGAATCAATCAATTTGCATAACGACCCATCTGTCGTACCATTAATTACATGTAGAAACCGTGGAGCACGCCGAACGATCTCGCACGGGCACTTTCGCCGCGGCGAGAATCGTAACGAGTCGCGTATCCATACTCAATGCAACTGGAACACGCAAATTACACGGAACTGCCCGTATAATTCAATATGATTACAGGACTCGGTCGTAAGAGTCGCTGGTTCGAGGAACCCGTATTAATAGAATATGTATGTACACACGCCTGGCTGTTCGGAACAGTATGGAAGAAACGGGACGAGCGATTTGTTGCAGGTATCCGATTCCGTAATTCAATTCACTGTTATTACACGAAATCACGGTACTCGTAATGATTCAACGGGCGAGCGAGCGAGCGGCCGCCACTCGTTCGAGACCGTTCCTTTATCGGATAATCCGTCGTGTACACTCGCCGGGCGATAATTACGCGAGCGGCGCGGTGCTCTTAAAAATTCATGGCGGATTAAACAACCGTCCGTTACGTTTATGCGAAATTATATCGCGGGCCCTTTCACGCGGACCGGCGAGAACGCACGTCGCCGCACCGGGCGATTCGTTAACAGGCGCCACGCGATAAAGGGAGCGACGGGAAGCCTAATGACGCGCAATCATGCGCCGCCGCGCACCGCGATTATAAATCCTCGAATTGCCGGGGACTCCGCGGACGGCCGTTCATTAGGCCACTCGTAAAACCGCCTTTATACGACCGGCGGGCTAGCTTCTGATGGAAAAAGAATGCAAATCGAATTCGCTTTTATGAACTATTACCGGTAAAGACACGTAACGCGCGGGGGAAATAGTACGCACGCTATTGTCTTTTATTATTCGATGCTATCATTACCCATATTCCCGGTAATTAGCTTGGAAAGTAATTCTACGTTGCTCGCGGCTGATCGGATTCTTGTGTAATTGCTCGGTGCACGGAATTTCTTCGGTTTCTTCGGGTGTGTTACGGTTTATGTATCCAAAGGTGTGTTTTGTGTATGCTTTGTCGTTGTGAGTTGAACTTGAATGCAATGAATTTCGTTTGAAGTAAATGATTACTGGTTTTTAACCGTTTGAGTGGTAAGCGGCGCGATCGTGCTTCTTCGTGGCGTTGCTTGATAGTGCTAGCTTATCGGTTCATGGAATCGAATTATGTTTGTTTATTTGTTTTACTTCTAATTATTCATTTTCGTTTCTGTTATTGCCAGCTTGGAAATGAAGAAGCGAAACTTTCGCACGCTTTGGAATTGTTTTGGATAAAAATAGAAAAGTGTAATTCAGTTTCTGCATTGAAACTCTATGCGTTACTGTTCGAACTTTATGCGATATTTTTATCTAGATTTGTTTATTTTTAAAACACTAATCGATTTGAAGTTTTCAAATGTACAGATAAATAGAAACGTTCGAGTGCCACGGATCTTTGCGAAAACCCGCTCGAAGAGTGCCAAACAACGCGATCTCGCTGCTTTCGTTGCAGTTCAGCAACTGAATTACACTTTCCTATTTTTACATAAAAAAATCATAAATAACGCGATCGTTCTGTTTTTCCACTTCTAAATAGGTAATAGCAAGAATAATCAATTAGAAAGGAAGCAAATAAATAAATTTAATGTGACTACGAACTGACAGGTTAACACTTGTAGACAGTGTAACGAACAATCGCGAACGCGTCGCTTGGCACTCAAACGCTTAAACGATTTTATCAAACTTTCATGAGAATCTACCAAACTGTTTATTAAGAAGAACAGAAAAATTGATACTTAGGTAACTAACTACTAACACACAAGTTAATCATGAATACTGCGATCTCTGTAACCAATATATTCGATTATCTACTTTGTTATTCGTTGTTACAGAAAATAACTATTTAAAGATTGAATGGAAATCTATTTCAAAGTGCGCGGGAACAGGGAAAGGGGGTTAGGCCTGAAATCACAGAAAATCGAACTTGACCGTGACAGAGAATCATGGAACGTTGATCTCGCGCGTCCATCTTCGGTCCGCCGAAACCGAGGACCTTGTTAACGACCCGGCTAACCTCGTAACACCTGTTACGCCATGCGAGCCAGCTCGCGTAAGGTTACGCGCAAACGAGTTTAAGTCACGAGGCCGACGAAAACACTTTCACTGACCCGTCACAAAGCGGTTTCTACCGGCCAAGTGAATCCCAAGGCTGTCTCTTCCTCTGGGAAACCGGTATTCCGCTGTCTTCCGCTCTCCCCACTCTGTATCTTTCACTTTTCTCTGATTCGTCTCTCGGCTAATTACCGTGTAAAACGTTCATTACGGTTTGATAACGCTGGACGAGGTGTAGAAGCTGGTTTATTGGAATTTTTCGATCATGACATTGACTATCTCGACGAGATATCGATGGAAAGGTTACACGAACTGTGCCTGTACAACGAGAAGTGCTGGAACCAGGGTTTCTAAGCCTTTGGTTGTTCATTTCTAGGGATTATCGTGTGTATTTTCGGGATTGTTTGTATTGGGAGCTTTATTATTCGAGAATATTTTAGTCACATCATTTTAACGTTTGAATATTACTGCAGGAAATGTCTCACCTGCGAGGTCTTATTTACAAGGTAACACAGCGACGGTTTGTACAGCGACTTATTTTTAACGGATTACCGCGGATTAGCACAAGTATGTACATGAATTAGTGCGTGACTATTTGACAAGTAAACAGCGCGTGTTTATGCAAATGTGAGTTAGTGGAGGGTTAATGTGTAGCGGCATAAATTAACAGGTTTGGCTATCAGTAAAGTTTAGACTCTTATCGAAGACAGAACGTTCAATTAATAAATTGATTTATCGAATTTCTGTTCGGACCTTCGGGAGACGAATGAAATTTTGGAATATTCATTTGAATCTTCGATAGACGAATGTAATTACCAAATCTCTGTTGAAATCATGGTTAATTAAATTAAGTTACCGAATTTCTGTTGAATCTTTGATAATCAAATGCAATTACCAAACCTCTGTTCGAATCTTCGATAATTAAATTAGCTTACCGAATTTCTGTTGGATCTTCGATAATCAAATGAAATTATTGAATATTCAATCGAGCCTTCGATAAACAAATGAAATTACCAAACCTCTGTTCAAATCTTCGATAATTAAATCAAGTTACCGAATTTCTGTTGGCTCTTCGATAATCGAATGTAATTATTGGTTACTTGATCAAATCTTCGATAAAGAAATGAAATTATCAAATATCTGTTCGATTTTTAGTAGATCGATCCTGAAACCTCCACATTTGCATGAACGCCTGCAGTTTAGTGATAAGTTAGCGTTAAACGTCCGCGTTCACGGCTCGCGGGTCTGGGAACTCGCGCGGAAGGACGTTCAGGCGACACGAAGGATGAATCCTCCATTTGCATACCACGATCTTCCGTGTTACAACGAAGGCAGTGGTATTCGTTGCCGGCGAAAGAGGAAGAGGATGCGTCCTCGACGGGTTCACGATCACGAGCGAGACGGCTCCGACGTTCGCGGAAACGATCCAAGGACCGATCGCGGCCTCCGCTCGGATCCTGGATCCGTCGGGGATCGTTCGATCGCTCGAGAGTATTGAAGAGGATCGATGAATCTTGAAAGATTCCAATGAAAGATTTCGTTCGTCGAATTCTGATGAATATAAATATCCTTCGAGATCCTCATTGGGATCTGTTGACTCATTCATCGTGGATAATTATGTTAATCATATTTCGAATTATTGCGAAAGGATTCATTCGATGAATGTTCATTTGCCTGCGAATTCTGTCACCCAAACGCTTGATTAATTACATCAATTAGGAAATGAATAAATGTGATTCCTACGGTTTTGAAATGACGCTTGTTAGATAAATCTTTGGTTATTGTATCGAAGACACCGTGATTATTCATCTGATCGATTTGAACGAACGAAATCTAGATCGATGCGTGTAGACTGCAGATTTTATGCACTTATGGAACGAGAATAAAATTGAGAATTTTCGTGAAATTTGAAACGACTATTCTTCGAGCTTCTTTATAAATTTGTACATTATCTTCTTATTAACGAGAAAACTCATAAAAATTTGGAAATGCATAAAAATCCTAGGTCCAGTGATGTGCAACGAGGAACATGAAGGGACGTGGATCAGTCCAGGTGATCTGACGCGAGTGACAACAAATAAATAGCGTTTTATTCACAAGTTAGGTGCACAGGAGTGACGAGAGTGATCGCACGATCGAGTGACAGTGCTCTGGGATTAGTTTCACCCTCATCTTGAACCCCCGAAAATGTTACTCCTCGCCTTGGTGAGTCTTTGGTGGTTTGGCAGACACCTGCGCCTTCCGCTGCACCCTTTCGCTCATCTCCCGCCCTTTTCCGTTCGTTCTCCGCGCGTTTATGGAAACAACAGCGTTTCGCATCCCACTTGGCTCGGTATCCGAGATCGCCTATTTACCTTGGTTGGGTGGCACGAATCCGAATCCGCTCGCGCCCACGATCACTCCGCTCGAGTCAGCGTTGTTCGGAGGTGGGCCTGGCGGGAACAGCACTGGACCTGTAAACATGACCGGTTTTAAACAATTTTATACATTTATATTTTGATATAGTTTCACACACTTATATCTTTCATAAATTTTATAAATTTATATACGTTAAGAATTTTATAAATTTATATGCACTAACAATTTCATAAATTTATATCTTTTATAAATCTTATAAATGTAAGCAGTTCCGTATCTTTCATAAACTTCATTCCTGAATTTCCTAGCTGAAGTATATAGCTCAATAAATTCTTGTTATCCACAGATGTCTTCCCAATCCAAATAGAAAGGATAAGAAGAGTCTAATTTATTTATTACGAAAAAGATCCTAAACCATTTCATATCTTATGCTTCTTCCTTCCAAAACTTTCTATGATCGTTCATATTATTTCAATAGTGAACTCAAAAAAGAAACAATTGTTCAATTAACCATTTTCCCATTTCGTCGCATCATGGAGGGTATGCTGAAACTATTGCAGCAAAACTTTCGACACCACTTTCGACGAAAATAAAGCATCTTTCGTGCATTTCGCTGAAATATTTCTCAATTAACAGGTTCCTCGTTCCAACGGTAAGATTAATGGCACCGCTGAATGCAACGGAACGGTTCAAGACACATCAGTCATCGCGAAACGTTAAACGTCATCTATCAGCCACTCCATTAAGCGCAGACCACGATGCCCAGTTACCATTCGGATCGGCGCGATTTCGATCTACGCCGGAATTTTAATCAGAAACATATTCCCCGCTATTCCCACGGGAGTCGGGGTTACGTGAAAAATCATAAGCAACGCGGTCTAACGAGCTGTAAAAGGGTAATCACGACCACCAACAGTTCGAGCCACTGTTCCTTGCCCCAATGAGGATAAAGGAACACCTGGGCCGATCGCGATCTCTAGATCAGCCAAGTTTCTTCGATCTTTATCTGCAGCACGCGAATTGTTCCCGATTCGCGAATTCGTTTGCGCAAGGATCGTGCTCGCGGCCTTCACGGTCGTTGATCGACTAACATGATCGATAACCGGGACCCCCACGAAGTTTCGTTTCTTTTCGGATGTCGCTAGCAAATATCAACAGTCTGCTCGATCACGATCGAAAATCGATGCGTGATTTATTGCACCGTGAAGCAAGGGGATCTCCGTCTCCAGATGGTACTTCGTTTCTTCCGAACATGAAACCAGGGAAATTAAACAGAATTTATTGCTACTGAAGACTTTGAACTTTCATGATCGAATCGTGGATTTTATGAAGTTACTGAATATATGGTCTTCTAGATTTGTGTACCCTCTGGTGGAGAAATTATATTTATTCTGAGAGCTGTGAGTGAAAGAGGAATATTCATTGTAATTAATTATTGACATCCATTATGGTTGATATTCGTTAGTTTTCGGGGACTTGGTCGATTTTAAAGATTAGTGGAACAGCTAATAGATTCACAGTACCACTCTTCGACGACCATTTTATAAAATTCACAGTCCAAAAATTAATATTTACCATTTGCAAATTTGCAAAGTTTCTACGTTATGAACGATTCGAATTTTCAGGAACCAACAGTGCTCTCTTATAACGAGGAAACCATAAATATCCATCTCGTAAGAGTGGAACGAACGAGTTTACGAGATCGAACGCTGCATAGGCGTGACACGAATCATTAGGATCGCGGGAAAAATTCGCACGCGTTACCTAATACTAGTCCGTGATCGGATCGACCAGTTCCAGTGCGACTCAGCGTTTTGTTAGCATTGCTTTCCCGGCGATATTTATTGTGGCCGAGTTTGAACTTGGCACCCATTCCGGCACGTACGCGCACCGCGTTCCACACGATCGCAAGGATCGCGTATCCTGGTTACGTGTGCATCGACACGTGCCGTAGTAAATGCCACATCGACTGTATTGGCTTTACGATAAACGGCAACCGACGAAATCCTTTGGTCTCCGTTACCGAAACGTCTGGGAGAAATCTTCGTCTTGGGAGCAAGGAACTATGGAAGGACCAAAGCTTCCTTTCAACACATTTTTCAATTCTTATGCTTTCCATAATCACACCTTATTCACCAGTCACCAGTTAACTCGTATTTGGAGCTATTCCCGAATTAAATTACGTTTGCAATTCATTCATTTTTATCTGAACTCGATATCGACGTTTATAAAAGCGTTTCATGTCGTATTCATTATATTGAATCGTTTTAATTATTCGAACATGTTACATGTAAACGAAATATGCACGTGGAAGTTTACTGAAATAACTTTTTGATCAAATTGTTGGCCAGTAAGGTGATTACGTAGAATTTCGTTGAGAATAACTTCCTTCTTTCTCTTGTAATTTTTTAAAAATAATTATGAACATATGCTTGGGATACTTATTTTACCTATGGTACAAAGTTATAACATTCGAGGCATGTGTATGTCGATAGAAAGTAAATGTGTTTTTTACTGCGTTTCCACTATCACAGATTTTTCAGCTGTCGAATGAAACTTTTCTCTTGCTTTAGTTTTTCATGCAATCAGTTGCAAGTAGATATCGAGCTGAGAAAATGAGCATTGAACTGGTAGAATAATCTTTGCTACCATGTAACACTGCTACATGTATAACAGTGATAATAAATTGAACTCGGTAGACCAGAATTTCCTGCATCCGAGACCGCTAACTTCCTTCTAAAAGCAACCAGTGTATCGAACCGAGTTCCGGTAAAAGTATCAGCGTTCAGAACTTAATAGGTATCGCGATTACACCGTTAGTGTTCTCGCTTCCTCGATCGCCGTAACTCCTGCGCTGAATTTTCGCGATCTCGCGATAATCGTCTGATTTCAAGCTTCGTCATGGTCCAACGGCGGTGTTGGGTAAAAGCTATTCAAAATAACGAATAAAGGCTGACGAATAAATTCATGATTGTTCTTTGTGAAAATCGAGTAATTGAACATACTCATAACTCACAGATAATAAATCAATTGAATTTATTCGTTATTTGGAAAAACTTTTATCTAATTCTCTATGCAATAACAAAGAAAACTTAACTCCTTCACTTACAATATCGTGTCAGACCCGTAACGAAACTTTTGAATCAAATTCGAGAACTCTAAGTGTTATCTATATTTTTTAAACATAAATCAAATATTAGTTTTCTATTATTAATCATTAACCTTTGACTTAAACGTAGACATAAAATAAGCATAAAAATTGCGCCTTTCTCTAATAAATTATTAACGATAAAGTAGTTGCATCGATCACAGCTAACAAATAAATTATAGTACAAGAAGTTAAATGGCATTGCTTTGCTGTCAATGGAATTTGTAAATACGAATAAGAAATGACGAATTGTAGATAATGAATAAAAAGCTGTGTGTTCCCCACACGAATAACGAATAACTCGAAGAACAAATAACCGAGTAACGATTAATTATTCATTCGTGATTGTTTCACTCGAACAATTTCCAACGTTGTCCAACGTGAACGTGGGTAAAATTTAATTAAACAGTAAATCCGCGAGTCCAACACCGCCGCACGATGTTCGTTCACGCGACGGTGAATGCTCCTGACAGGTTTCAGATGGAAATCGAAGATCACCGCGATTGAACAGCGAATCGAGGAGGGAGAGAGAGTTTGTCGGAGGCTCAGCACTATCCGAGGGACAGCGTGATCGACGCCATATTTGTTTTACGCACCCCTGTTCGACCGGGGATCTCGCATCCCTGCGGATTGCCTGAGGTACGGGCCGAATCCTGCGAATAACTGGCTGTAGTCCTGGGCGGAGGTCACTGCCAGGATGGCGAAGACGAACGCCAATAGTATTGTCTGAAACAGAAACGAAGAAATTGATGATATTTCAATTGAAATAACGTTGCAGATTTTTGAAAGCGATAATATTAAATTGGGAGAATTCAGGCAATTATTTCGTCAGATATTCATTTGAAAAATAATTTTTAGATTTATCGAATAGCAACGATCATTGTTGTTAATCTAGTAATCCCTGCGATTACTCTAGTAATAGTAATAACAAAAGATATGAAACAATAACTTACAATTAACCTTTGAATTTTAACGACAGTAGAATTTGGAAAGATTTGAATTTAGAATATTTCTTCTTTTTATGACGATAAAAGCAGTTTGTAAACGAATTGATTCGAAGTAGAAGCTGTTGTATAATCACCAAGAAATAAATCAGTGAAAAGGACCTGTCGAATGAAACACCTCGTCTATTAATTAGCATCAAACCACGTTCCACAGGTTTTATCTACTCGATTAACACGTCAAGGACGTCAGACGTACCATTGAAAAGTAGTTAATTACGAATCTTTGGCGATAGTTTCACTCGGAACGGTTCTTTCTCAATCCACGAATACAAAAACGGTTCGAAATCGAGAACAAAGACTCGACGTACCGTTAGGTCCTAATGGGATCACTCGTTGCGGGTGGTTTTAATTAAATCTCCCCCACTGGGGACAATTTAACACGGAGACCGTTTCCACAGGTGCGGTGCACGGCTCGGAATCTCTCCGCGCCGGAAGCTTCTGTAATTAATGCCGCGAATTACAGCTCCCGCGGCCGCGAAAAATGATTAACATGACTGCGGCCACTTCGTTAGCCGCGCCTGAGAACGATCGTAACCGCGAAACGGCTACCTCGACCCGATGATTGATAGTCGAGTTGCCCTTTTTCTACAGACGGCAAAGAACTCTCTCCAAGAATAAACAGAAACGTTTTAATTGAGTCGTAAAGAATATAATTGAATCTTCGGCCTGTAAATATGAAAATTTCCAATCCACAAGTATATTATATAAAATGTCAAAATAATTTTCATTCTTAAACCATGGAGATACTCGGAAAAATGAATTATGATCAATCTATAATTACGTTAGTGTTTGTAAAGTTTATATTATGTACAAAAATGGAAGGAACTAAAATTCAAATGTTCGTTCTCTGTGCAAGGTGGTTAATTTTCTCTATGAAGACATTTTTCAGGTGCAACGTCCTCGATTATGACGAATAATTCTCGTTTAATAGGGATGACAAATCTCTTTCGACACGGATCTCGGATTCCTTCCTCTTCCGACACCCCGTAGACCGGCCGGGAACAACTCGCAGGACAATTTTTACGAGCGGTTCGTTGGTTGGTTAACAATGCATGAAAATTTATGAGCCAATATAGTCGGGAGAATAAAATCAGCGATGGAAGTGCTCATTTAGAGGCCGTTAGTTCCCTCTAACGTTTCTATCGGATCAGAAAGCCACTGTTCATCGTCGTGGACGCGGTCTACTCGTAAAAGCGTTACTTAATAAATTAACCCGGGATGAATTATGGCGGGCGTCGGTAGCCGAGCAGGAACACCCAGTTTAAAACCCTATTAAATCGGAACAGCTCCGATTGTTAATTGATTATTCCCGACCGGCGAGCCCGCCGTAAATAGTAATTGATGGCGAGGTACGTGGGATGCTGATAACCGGCGACTATTTATCGGTGAAAGTGTTTCGTCGCGTAATTTACTATCGTTTCCAGATTGTGAAGTAACCCCGCAGATTTCACCGGGAATAATTTCCCCCCGTTACAAGAGAAATCAAATTTTAATTGCTCCATCAACGGAGGGTCCTCGTATCGACGTTACGACACCTGCGCCCGAAACAGCGACAAAACGTCCCAGCCAGTAGCATCTTTGGCAATATCTTAAAATAGAAGCGAAACTTAAACAGCCAGTGTGTGCGCGAAAATTACGCAAACACCTCGTAAATCCGTGCTGGTTTAATCCGATTTCGAGCTGTAAATTTCGTTCGGCGTTGCGCAAAATTTTATTTGGACGAGAGGTAAAAGCAACGGCTAATATTGTTACTTTCAAAAAGTACGGTTATGTAAAGGGGTAATTTACAATGGTGCCTATTACATATTTTCTATTGAAATATTTTGTGATCTCGTATCGAATATAAAGTTTTATTAAACTGCTATTTGTATTAGAGAAATCCTCGATCGAGTGTGTTGTTAAACAGCGTAATTACGTAAAACGATCGTTTACGAGGGAATGTACAGTGTATTTTTTCATGTGTAATGCTGACGAGAGTTATGCTATAGAAAAGCTGAAGGTTGGAAGGGATGATTCGAATCCCGTGACATCGTCTCATTTTCCGTTACGTAAAACCTGATGAAATCGTTATGCCACTTAACGATCCCTCGGCGCAGATTCCATCGACGTTACAAGCCGCGTACGCGCTTGGGAACGAGCCCCGTTGTCCGACGAATAATTCCGCGCTCAGATCATGCCGATCATCGATCGCAGCCGGCTCGGCTGCACGCGCGTTTCATTCTTCGATCGGTTTTTCTCGATCGAAAGCAAGGTGAGCCGCGGCTACGTCATCGCCGCACAATTTCTTTCCCTTGTCGCAATGTCAAGGCGATTAATTGCTATCCCACCACCGGCTGGCAACCGGAATGATAAACTGATGATGAATGACACGATAATCACTGATAATGGGAAATCTTTAAACGCCGGACGCACTACTGGTTCTGTAAGCGCGTTCACACGCTGACTATGTTTAGTCGAACTGGTAGCTGGATTCTTAATCTTCCTGAGTCACCGTTGACTGCCACTGAAGAAGGTATGCAGAAAGGAAAATTTTCATACGGTGTTTTGCTTCAGACAGTCTATTCCTTATGAAGTATTAAAAATATGTTATTTTTCCCCGTAGAATCCAGAAATAGAATTTTCGGTTACCGTTCCATATGTTCAAAGTTGATATTAAAGTAATTAGGACGAGAGAAAATACAATGTAGCACTGACTAAGCTACAATTTTCTACGCGCAATCGAATCGGTAACCAATTGTTCAAAGTAGACAGTTTAAGTCGTCGCTTGAAATCGGCGTGACTCGCGAGTCAACAAATTGTACGGTAAGCGAGACTTAATGAATCTTCGGTTACAAAATATGTCGGTCCCGTGATTGAGGGCCGACGATCGCGAAAGAGTTTTGCCGACGTAACATGTTTGATATCAAATTAAAATAGGTCACGCGCCTATTGCGCGAATCGCGTTACGGCATAGTGAATTTACTTGTCGCAACCGCGGATGATGTTGATTAAAGCGGGAAGGGAGACAGCGTAATGATACGTTCATGCTGAGTGCCGAGCTCCCTCGTTGATTGGCACCCGATTTAATTACCGACCGCTGCCAGGACAAATAAACCCGTAAGCATGCAATTTCCGTGTCTTGAGGCAGAAACGCGCAAGAAACATTCCTAACGATACTATCGCCGATTTCCTTGAGGTACGGTCAAGAGAAAAAATATGTTAAACCTCCGCCACGATACGAAATTCCAACTATCAATCACGTTCTCTTGGTGCCCAAACCCTTCACCGCCTTTTCGAAATTCCGGTCAGTCGCGAAAACCGTAAACAGCTTGGAAATTGTTGTGAAAGAGGAGGTAAGAAAATGGTTTGCAGACAGGATAGCAAGGTCGAGGCAGCAGGGTGAAGGCAAGTACTGGATCGTAGATCCTGCCGCGGGAAAACGTGCGCGGATCGATCCATCAACGACGATCGAACGTAATTTTTCATTCATGTATTCCTGAGGCGCAGTCATGGTAGTCTTCTCCCACGCATTGACCAGGGATATTCAAGGGAGCCTACGTCAATGAAGTTTTCCCTAAAGAGACGGCTAATTATGGAGTGTCAATTAGACGAAAGTGCAGTGAAGGTTCCCAGGGGTAGAATTTCAATGAAGCGCCGTCTAAAACGTGGAAGGAAAACTATGCTGAAGGTGGCTACAAGAGAGTCACGCGCTCGTTCGATTGTGGGTACCAAAGGCACGAGGTCGCCCACAAACCGCGGCACACATGTGCGTACAGCGTGACGGCAGATCACGCCGCCGTGATATCTGAGCCAACGCGCGCCGATCATCGCGAGGAAAACCGTGCGTGTAGCTAAAGGATTCAAGGAGGGGAATAATGTATAATGTATGCTTCGCTGCGTTGCGAAATAATTGTAGACAGTCGCATATTTGCCAGGGGTGCAGCGGTAACTCGAAACGTTGCAGGTATTAGATACTAGAACGGATGGAGGAGCAGAAATTTGTATGGAGTAACATGTATGTACCTTCTTGTCGGTAAATTAACCGTGTTCAGATTTAGGAGATTGATTGGACAAGACAGCGCAGGTTTCCAGCGAAAGTTTTCTGTGAATGAAACACGACGATGCATGAAATATGTGGTTCATGTTTGGCTTGGATTTGATTTAGTTCGACGTTTACAAATCCTAGGAATTTGACACTGAAAAACCGGAATTACTATTTTTGAATTAACCAGACCTGTTGAATACTATTCGGATTCTGAATATTTTATCATAGAATGTTCCATATGTAGAATTTTTTGGATAATCAGTCAATCGTTCAACCACCAATCAATGAATTATTTTAATCCCATCCTATTTTCTTTTTTTCTCTTCAGATCTAGCACTAAGGAATTCTTTGATTATTCTGAATGATGTAGAATAATTTCTTGGATATCATCGATTATTTTTGGATAATTGATGTTAGACAACAAATTCTAAATTTTAGAATACTAAAACGCGAATATTTAGGATAAGATAAGATAGTTTCTTGATACTATCCCAGGAAAATAGGAAAATTAAACATAACCAAGAAAGGAAATACCGGGGTGGGGCTGCCCACCCGGTAATCCCCATCCTAACGAAGTACGCGGATTGTAGTCGTTTGACACGCATGATCGAAGAACAATGCCTCAACCACCTGTATTGTAGTGACCAACGTCACTGTTATTTAGTTTCTAGTATAATCATAGCTATTACTATCTCTTT